AATGTGAAAGAAAGAATAGAAAATAATGATTTTTGGGGGGAAAATAACGATTTTTTAACTATTAAAGAATGACAGTATAATAAGAATTTCTAATGGATGGACCCACCAGCAATCCCACAGGCATTATTCACCAATAAAATTCCTGAGTGCAGAGCATCACTGATGAAGCATTTTTTTTTTTTTTTGCCAAAGAATTGAATCTGAACTTGATCAAGCTTTTAGCTATAGACACCAATTTACAGGAGAAAGAGGGAACCATATACAATCAGCTAATCCCACACTACAGAAAATTCTGCAAGACAAAAGAGTTTTTTCTTTAACAAATAAATGCCAAGAAAACAAAAGAAAAAGAAGGAAAAAAAAAGAGGAGACTTAAGAAGCATAGCAGTCAAGGGCAATGTGTGAGCTTTGTTTGGAACCCAAATAAAAACAAACTATTAACAAAATTTACAACACAGTCATGGAATAGAACTGATAATATAGGGTGATGTTAAAAGAATTATTCATTTTTTAGGAGTGACATAAATTATCTTTGAGAGGTGCATAATACATTATTGACAAATAATGATTTGCTACCCAGGATTTGCTTTAAATGACCAAGTGGAAGCAGGATGGAAGGGTTAGGGGAAATAGGACTGGCTGTATGTACAAGCTGGATGAGAGACACACAGGCGCTTATTATAATACTCTTTTTAAATTTTGTATATGTCTGCAAATATCCCTAATAAAAAATTTTTCAGAAGTGCTTCAGATAAGAAAATTAAAGAACTAAAAAAGATGAATGCAAATATGACAACATGTTAACAACTGTCAAGTTCTCAGCGATGGGAATATGGATGCTTACTTTTTCTCTGTGTTTGCAAATGTTCACAATAGTAAACAAAATTGTAAAGGCACTTAAACCCAGCAAAGACCCAGAGTTAGGTCAGGTTAAAAGGATTTTGACATGTAGCTACAGACAGATGGGTAATGCTGGCATTTACCACTAATGCCCACAGAAAATTAAAAGCAAATGACAAAGGACACCAAAAAGTTCAAACTTGAACTAAATTACTGGGAGAAGAAAAAAAAGGGACCTGGAGAACAGGACTCTAGCTGACAGAACAGTGAAGCTTGTGACATAAAGGATCTTCAACTTAGAGTCAAGCCACAGCATGATCAAACGGGAGGGAAGGAGTTTTACAATGTTTAGTCCAAGGCCCCAGTGATGATCAATGAAAGATCTGGCTACACCTTGTGCCCTAAAGCCTTAATGTCATACGTGACGGGGTATAAAATTTTTAAAAAAGCAGCCCAACCCCACAGAAGCGCAAAAGCTTTTATGATTTGGAATTAGAAAATGAACCAAGACACAGCCGGCAGCGTGACTGTTACTCAGCTACGCCAGCAGCTGTTGCGAAAGCACTGCTTCTCGGTAGAAGCCCTAACTACAGCATGACCTCACGTCCTCTACCCCGAAGAAGGCTCTGTCCGTACCTGATGATGACACACTGGTTCTCTCTGTCAATGATCATGTTTCTGTACATATTATCTGCAAGAGCATAGATGTGGGGTGGGTTTTCGTACTGTGCCTAGAAAAGCAAAACAAAACGAAACCAAACCATGGTCAGATAAAGCAACACATTATATTTCTTTTTTCTTGGCCTTGGCTTATACCGCTATATAGTTCTAACGTTTATAATTATATCTTATAGGTTACAAAACACAAGAATTCATAAAATTGTCTAGGTCACGAGGAGTTACACCTAACAAAATGAAGGTGGAATCTGGAGGTGCTCTTCTGTAGGTATTTGAGTGACTCAGCCTTCAGACATGCCCTATGCCTTCAGATACTCCACCACACGCCCTTCTACCCTAACAGGCCTCCACAAGTGATGTTCCACTGCTACACATTTCTAAAGGCCCTGGGGCAACAAGCCTACTAAAAACCCGGGCTTGATTTTACTAGGATTCTAAATTCCTACACAATTTTTTTTCTAAGGGGCAAATTGGAGATGGCTATGAATGAGGAGAAAACCAAAATTTTCCATAAGAAGAGAACAAGAGGTGTGGTTCTTTAAAGTGATCAACTGGTTTGGTCAGTTTGTTTTCATCTCAGTAGGGGAAAAAAAATCCTGGCACACTAGGATATTCCCCTGGGTTTTAGTTTCATGGGGAATCTTAGCTCTGCATAAATATAAATTCACCAATACATTCACTGAGTCAGGACAACTGCAGCCCTGCTTTCTTCAATTTCTTGGCACCCACCTTCACCATTCACTCAAAAGAAAAATGCTAAAAAGAAAAATACTTCATGTGGTGTAAAGCTGGAGAAAAAGCACTCCTTCAGTTTAAGGCTATCTATCTATCTATCTATCTATCTATCTATCTATCTATCTATCTATCATCTAAAAGGCTAATATGCAAAGTGTCCCCTCAGGAGTTCGACTGGGAGACCGGGAGTTTGATCGCTCGCTATGACGTGTGCTGACCACTAGAGGGTGGGGTGGAACGAAGGAAGGCTCTGACCAGCAGCCAGAAAGCCCTGATCAGCCCTGATCGCTGGCCAGGCCTAGGGACCCTACATGTGCAGGAATTTCATGCACTGGGCCTCTAGTCTAACAGAAAAAAGTGAAAACAATACCAGAACCAGTGAGAAGGCGTAGATTGTGTCTTTCCCTTCCCTGGTGCCCATCTCTCAAGTGGGGATACTAATGCCGATGCTACAAATGTCACAGGGTAACTGAGATGATGGATGGGGATGGAATTTGAAAAAGTAGAGTCTTATGCAAAGGTACAGTATCATTTACCAACCCAGCTTTGGGCCTTATTATACAATGACTTACTAATAGAAAAGGTGGCCTGGCCCAGAAATTGCCATTCATTGCAAGCTCTGGTAGATCAGAACTGAGTGATGAGAGGGGATGAAAAGAGGGTGCTTGCTGCCTGCACACATGTTTGGAACTGGTGGATCCAGTGCCCACGCTTTCCCTCATATTGTGAGCAGGAGGCTCCCAAGGGGAACTGCCCAGTGAGGGTCGGAGGCTATTCCTGGGACTTGTTGACTGAACAACTCCAAACAGGAACAAGAGTACATCCCTGCCATCACCTTACAGTCAGAAGGGGATGCATGGATAAACCTCAGGATATTGTCTTAAAATGGCCTTCAAGCCTCGATTGCTTATGCAGGATTATTTTTAATACCTCTTTGAAAACAGGGAAATTGATTATAAGAAAGAAAAGAGGAAAATAGAAGGAAATGGAGTGGAGAGAAAGCTGTGGTATGGAGGGAAAGGTGTGGGCAAGTCATTGTCCAATAAGGCTTGAAAGCTGATTCACTAGTTATACTTGTCCTTAGCAAGTGATTGTTTTTCAAGATGGTTTCCAATCTATGGTCTCACGGAACCTCTCAGCTACCTATGAGAATTATCAGGTAGGTATTTCCTCTACCTGGTTCTTTCCTCCCCTGAAAGTCATTAGGATCTGACTTCAGCTCCAACAGTCAGCAGATTTGAGTACTTAACCTCTCTAAGCCTCAGTTTCCTCATCTGTGAAATGGGTACAGAGAACAATACACAGCCAGCATCCAGGGCTGTTGTATTATTTGTCACAAGTGTAACATAACACCTGGCACTCAGTAAATACCGATTTTACAGCACGCGGTTATCATTAGCAGTTAAAAATAAATATGTATTTTTAAAATTCTAGGGCATTCCTTTAAGGAGAACTCTTCAAAAGATGAATGGTCTAAAAGGGACTCATAGCGACGCTTTTCAGAGAACTGGAAAGAAACCCCACCAACGCACAGCACTTGCACCTACCCCGCCCCTGCCGTCATTGAGAATGCCAGGCCAGCCCGCGCCTGCTGCTCCGGGCCTGCAGATCAGGGCGCCAGGGCAGGGCCCAGCCTCTGTTGACAGTGTGCCCCTTGTGCTGGGCTCCCATAAAGGCAGCATTATCAAAGGTCTTTCGCGTGGCAGCCTCCTTCGGCTCTAGCGACCAGCACCATTCATCTGGCAACAATGGGGTGAGCTCTTGCTCTGGGTAAATTGCCTTCCACTTCAACTGATGAATCTGTGTGGGCTCTCTTTTGTTTGTTTTCCAGGGGTCAGGACTAATGATTGCTCTTGTGCTTCTGCTGCAAAGGAAAGAGCGAAGGGGAAAGGATGCAGAGATAGGGAGGCCTGGGGAAGTGATGAACCATGTAAGGAGACACACTGATGAGGATTACAGTTTCCATTTTTTGTCACACAACTGAATTGGCTATGGAGCTGTGTCTGAACTGGGACCGAAGTCACATTAATAAATGAAGTAATAAAAGATTCATTTTTCATGTTCCAGTCATAGCCACAGTTTCAGGGTCTGATTCAGACAGAATGATCCCCATCGCCCAATTTATTTTTTACCCATTACTGGTTGTTTAGTTTTAGAATTTTGTGGCATGTGTGGAAAGAGGAAGGTCCCCCAACCTGTAGGTCTTGCATCCCATTTAACTAATTTTATATATAATGCTCCAATGTTAGATAGTCCTATGCTTTCTTGAGCTGCACTTGGAAGATTAGCACAACATTAAAAAATCAAACAATGGCCCTGGCTGGTGTGGCTCAATGGACTGAGCGTCAATCCGTGCACCGAGAGGTCTCGGTTGTGATTCCCAGTCAGGGCACATGGCCGGGTTTCGGGCCTGCTTGATCCCCAGTGGGGGATGCACAGGAGGCAGCCAATTGATGTTTCTCTCTCCCTCTCCCTCTTCTCTCTCTAAAATCAATAAAAACATATTTTTTAAAAAAAGAAAAATCAAACATGTCACCTACTTGAGTTTTCCCAATAATAACTCATATTAAGGAAATGCAAATGCATTGCCAACATCAAGAAAAACTACCCAGCATCAAAGAAGCCAAAAACACTGCAGTAATTCCCGTGGCACGTAACTTACCGCTCCTTGGTACATTTCAATTTCCTTATCCCCAAAATATGGCATCTGCTTGAAAGGGTTGACTGAGATTAAGACGGATCCTATATATGTCTGAATTTATATCCAGTTAAGGTCCATTGTTAATCTTCATAGTTACACATGTTTTTTAAATTAAGTAACCAGGTGTTATAAAAAATTCACGATTGTTCAAGGAAGAGCTTGTGTACTTGTTTTCTAAAAGATTACAAATAAAGACAAAGGCAATTACCAGCTAGCTCAGACTTTGTTCCTCTCCAGGAAGAGGAATGAACTTAATTACCAAGGTGCTACAAGAAGAAATAGTAAATGAATGGAAGCTTATTCCTTTAAGACTGGTGACACACAACTAGAAAAAAACAAACAAAACAAAACAGAAATGACCAAGGAGTGAAAGAGCAGTTATCATTCCTCTTTTCAAATGACATTATTTTTCCCTGGGACCTTTCTTATCTATTAGGGATACTAAGAATGTATTCATGCACTCATTTAACAGACAGAGGGATACAAGATGAGCTCTTTCAAAGCTTAGGGAACTGAGCTGTATCTATATTATTCAGAGCAGACAATTACAAACCCATACAGATCAGGCTGAGGGGAAGGAGGTGTTTTTTCTGCATGGGGAATCCAGGAAGTCCTCTCAGCAGAGAACGTGTTCATATTGTCTTAATTCTTTTCTACGACACATTCTTAATCAAGTGTTATTGTAACAAAAAGACATTTTCATGTATTCATTCAGCAATCAACTAGTTTGAACTGGGTGTCTACAACATGCCAGGCGCTGTTCTAGATGCTGGGGATACAGCAGTGAACAAAATACACACACTGGACAAAAGTCCCTGCCCTCACAGAGGAAAAAAATCATAAAAAAAGAAAACATTGAAAAAACTCTAAACCACACACATACTCAAAATTGTTTCTTTTAATCAATGATTTCCCACTGTTTAGAAATTTTGCAGTTGAAGATATAAACCTATGAGATTTCTTCCCCTAAAGAAACATTTATAAATTTACATTTATGTTAGGATCCAGGTGTCTAATAGAGCAGTGCGGTAACTCTGGTCAGATGGCCTCATTCCCCAAGTCCAGTTCTTCCTGACCTTGGGTAAGTCATATCTGTAAGCTGCAGTTAATGGATGGTGGGGTAAAATAGGACCTACTCAATAGGGCTGTTTTGAGAATTCGATGTTACAAAATGCTTAGCATCATGTCTGGCATTGTAGATGCAATTTCCTTAATTCATATACTTCAAGATGCATGTTTTGTCACATGTTAACACCTCTGAGATGCAGCTTTGGTACTATTATTGAACACAAATAAGCCAAAAGTTGGATAAATCATACAATATTTAAAAATTAATATTTATACACAAAGGCAGGAATGCAGAATGATTCGGTTGCAATTTTGCTTCCTTTTTCACTGACCAGAAAGATCTCTGACCTGAAAGGGTTGAACTTGAAATGACAGTACAGAAGATGGGGTGGTTTGAAAAGCACACCCAGATGGAACCAGTGGGGGCAGTCCATGGCACTAAGATAAAACGAGAATGAGACAGTGAATCAGAACTAAAAGTCGCCAGAGTCACAGAAGGAGGGACATGAGCAAATGTAATTTCAAGTGCCAACGCCAGATGAGGCCACCGATAGATTGATTAATGGCCTACTTCTTTTTAGGCAAAAATTCAGAACAGATAAATTTATTATTAAAATTATTAATCGGATAAGAAATGTCTATAATGCTGTAGACTAAATGTTAATAACACTGATCAAACACATACACATTATATGGTACTAATATAAGCTCCTAATCACAACTCTGTTACTACTTTAATCCTATTTTGCTATGAAGAAACCCAGGCATAGAGAAACTTTAGAACTTGCTCAAAGTCACAAGCTAGTGAGTAGCAAAGCTATGCTCCAAACCCAGGCAACCTGGTTCTAGAGTTTACACTCTTTTTTTAAAAAAAAAAAACTACATTTTTTAAATTGATTTCAGAGAGGAAGGGAGAGGAAGAGAGAGCTAGAAACATCAATGATGAGAGAGAATCATTGATTGGCTTCTCCCTGCACAGGGGAGAAGCCCGCAACCTGGGCATGTGCCCTGACAGGGAATCGAACCGCAATCTCCTGGTTCACAGGTCAACACTCAACCACCAAGTCATGCTAGCTGGGCTAGAGTTCCCATTCTTAATCAACAAGCTATATTGCCTTTCTAAGATTAGCAGGCATTGTCGCTATTATTATTATTGATATTATTATTGGTAGAGTTGACAGATTTAGGAAATAAAATAAAAAATGCCCAGGTAAATTTGAAGTTCAGATAAACAATAAATAATTTATGCATATATATCCCAATACGTATGCTCCAAGCAATATCTGAGACATACTTCTACTAAAAAGGTACTTATTTATCTGAAATTCAAGCTTAATCAGGCATCCTGTATTTTACTGGCAACCCTAAATTGGCAGCACAAGGATCTCCTGCTGGACTGAGAGGTGTTCGAGAGCCTATGGTCCCTCATAAATTAGATTCTGTGATTCTTTGAGTACTAAAAACTCTATCTCTCTTCGTTGATTTTTTAAAAATATATTTTTATTGATTTCAGAGAGGAAGGGAGAAGGAGAGATAGAAACATCAATGAAGAGAAAATCATTGATCGGCTGCCTCCTGCATGTCCCACACTGGGGATCAAGCCCACAATCCAGGCATGTGCCCTGACTGGGAATCGAACCATGAGCTCCTGGCTCATAGGCTGAGGCTCAACCATTGAGCTAAGTTGGCTGAGCTGTTGACTTTTTTCTGTATCTTTACCACATGGTAGGGACCAAATCAAAACTGAATAAATGAGGCTTGGCCCTCATTCTGATTCTCAAAATATAGCAATTCTTACAATTTTCAAGAAATAGAGCCCTGCTATGACCATCCTCGTTTCAGAAGAAGAGGATGTCTGGCTACATTTATCTGCAGGTGAAAACGAACTTGGGCAGGTATGGCGTTTCCATGGAGAAGGGTGCTCCTTCCCTTGGTTGTGATGGGGAATGCCGTGACTGCCACCTGTCCTGGACAAACTGGTCACTGCATGCGAAGAAGAAAGAGCTACCCAAGGACATAAGCCAAAGAAAGCACCTGCTCAGCAATCCCTTCCCGCCCACCGAGCCCTTGGTTATCAAATACATATGGGTTGGGTTGCATAGAGCTTCTATAGGAGCCAACATTTTTTACTGTGAATAACCTGCTATTTAAAGAGATATATTGTAGAGTCTTGACTCAGTCAGCTACATAAATTCTGATTAAGGCCTGGGAAGGAGACACTCAGAGAAAAAAACTTCTTTCAGATGACTCGGCCAAGCCTGAATCAATCAATGACTGAGGTTGAAAGAGGGAAAATTGTAGCTGACTCCTAAATTTCCCATAAATAATGGGGCTGCCGTATTATTTAGGAGGAGTCCCGGAAAATAAAGTTTAGTTTGAAACAGAAGAATTGAGACAAGAGAATTTAACTTGGATTTAAAGGAAACAAACATATTTTAGTTATTTTAGGTGAGAGTTTGGCCTCATTGTTTATCTAACTGCCCGCCTTTTTTCCACCTGGCTGGGTCTGCAGACACCTCAGCACTTCCCTGAGCACACGGGCCTCCTACTGAGTTGGGTCCCTTCTCTAGACTCAAATACTCCCTCCCACTCCCTACTACATAATTCAGGTGTGCCTTTGGAAAAAGCCGTTTCCATCATTGTCTCTACCACATAATCTTTAGCAATGAAGGTGTGGCCCAAGGTTAATTCTGAAAATGTATGGGGCTACCAGGCTATGATACAAAACCAAACCAAAAACAAACAAAAAAAACCCCCACCAACAAACCAAACAAACAAAAACCCAGAAATCTGTAACATAAATGCCATCTTATTTAATAGACTTCGCAAGATGAAAGGACCCAGTGGATCTTGGTTCTCAAATGCTTGTTGGGGATCTTTGAGTTTACAGTGATCTGCAGCAAGAATGACAAAGAAACAATGCCCTGAATTTTTCATAAAGCTCAATTTATTCAATGTAAAAGACTGTCCTTTATTCTTCAATTATTTCCTTTCTATTTTGGGAGTGTTAAAAATATTCTTTCTTTTATGAAATGTGATGGTAGTGAAGCTTCTGTAAGTTTGTTTTTAATGGTCTTATTAAACAAAGATAAAGTTTAACTTAAGAAAAAATTCCAATAACCAACGAATTCCCCCAAACCACCCACACCAACCTAATGGATTTCCCTGTTTTTATCTCTAAGGAGGGGGGGCGGGCGGGGGGGGGGGGGGAGCCGAGGCCAACTTGCCTGAAGACATATGTGGAGAAGGTCAAGCTGGAACTTGAGCCCTGGCTCCAGCCGCCAGACCAACCTTCCTCACTGCAGTGTGGTGCCCCCACCCCCAACGTGACTGACTGCCAAGGACCAAACCTCATTCAGAACAACTGCACTGCCTTCAGCTCCGGTTGGTCTGGCACAAACATCTCACCCCCTAATTCAAGGGCTGAAGATGCCAAACACACTTGAGTGTGGTCTTTGAGCGAAAACAAGTTTGGAGAAAGCTGGATCAAATGGGCAGGGAGTGCTTTTGCATAGAACCGTTGTCGTCAGCCAAGTGGCTACAAATGATGCCAGGCATAAGCGCAAATACTGCAATGTTTTCCTCAGAGATTTTCGAGTGGAATTGTAAGGAGTGTGGCAACATCCAGGAAAAATGGATGGTTAATCAAACCTTCCTTGTCTTAGGATAAATAGCTGAAAATTGTGTGTGTGTGTGTGTGTGTGTGTGTATTGGTAAACCGTGGTAGCATTTTCTAAGTAGATATTTTTCTGATGTAGAAAAAATAGAGCATTCAGGCTGAATGCATTAATAACGGATTGTTCCAAATGCTGACCTTCAAAACAAGACAATGTGCTGGTATTAAATGTAGAAGAGGTCAAATGAGCAATGTTATAATTTCATGTGAAATTGAATCTCTTCTTCCCTTAACTACTAAGCTTAGGAGAGAGAGGGGGGAAAACACTTTTGACTTAAAATAATGCTACTCTAAAAAATATAATGCTACTCTATCATAATAATATTCCTTTAGCACTGAACTGATAAAGAAGGCTTTTATCACTTATCAGAGGAAAAGATTTGCAGCTCCACCCTTGGCATTATTTTCGTAAACATCCAACAGACCCATCAAGCTTTCTCAAAGCTGAGAGCTGCCCTGTGCTACTGATGAAAGCACATGGATGCTGAGTTTCTCATTTATCGAGTGGGCAGATTTCTAAGACACGAAGTCATTAGTGGTCAACTAACTCACTTCCTTGGTAAAGTACACGATTAGTCAGTCATTGATTCAAAGGCATTAATTCAGAGGCAAGTAATCAGCCCCCTCTGTGTGAGTCACTTAAAAATTCTGCTGTCTGAATATAAAAAGCAAGTCTTAATTGTCAACAAATTTTCAATGAACACGTAATATGATGCACCATGCCAAGAATTATGCAGGAAACTAAAACACACAATGCAAGAGGATCCCATTTCTGTTAGAATTAACAAGAAAGCACACATAAACACATGCCTATATGTGGATAAGTTGAAAAATATAAAGCAAGGGGTTATATAGACACTAACCCTATATGGTGGGATTTTGGGTGATTTTAGTGTTCTCCTTTCTGCTGGACTCCATTTTACAAGTCATGTTAAATGAAATGTATTACTTTAAAGGGTTTTTTAAACGTTGTTTTTTTAAAAAAGTCTACAAGAGACAGTCCTTGTCCTCAACGAATCTCTGGTGTTTTAAGAATAAACGATCCTGGTGTTTTAGGAATAAACGATCCTGGTGGGGAGAAATGAGGATGGCTGGGTTGCCTGCTGATAACCACTGACACCACCTTTTTCTTTTCTTATCCAGCTTATCAAAATCCATGTTCTATGTCAATAATGTAAGAAGTGGAGCCTGCATTCTAAGAACATTCCAATAAATAATTTGTTCAACTACATTCTGTGGAACTTAGCCTTTTATAGGCTTGTCAATAACCCAATCCTCCATTTAAAAGTTTTTCAGGATAACAAGCATTTCAATTTCCAATAAGCATCTTTACAATCGAATTTTTGGAATATAACTCAGAAATATGGGAGGAGCTTACTCACTTGCCTTAGCCTATGATAATACTAACGAATGCTTATTGTGTACTTACTGCATTCATCATTTCATTTAACCTTGCAACAGCTCATGCGGGAGATTTTATTGTCATTCCCACTTTACAGGCAAGGAAATCAAGACACACAGATGACAAAAGGTCCTACGGTCACCAGGCCCAAGCAGAGTAAGGTTCAAAGTCAGGCAGCCCAGATCCGCTTCCTGCACCTTTTTCTAGTCTACCCCCTGCCAGTTTCCATGGGCCACGGATCTTGCACATAAAAGGGATTTAAATATTTTGATGATGATATGTCCAGAAAAAGTGAGCATATTTCAATAATTTTGAGCAAATAAAATGAAATCTTACAGCTGAATACAACTGCTTCCATCCAATTAAATTAAAGGCAGTTCTGCATAGGTGTCTAGGAGTCAGCAAAGATTTTTCTGTAAAGGGCCACAAAAGTAATTAATTTAGGCCTCGGGGTCAGATGATCTGTTGCAACCACTCAGCTCTGCCATTGTAGCATGAAAGCAGCCACAGACAAGAATAAAACAACGGAGAACGGCTGGGTTCCAATAAAACATTGGTTATAAAATGGGCAGTGAGCAGGATCTTGTCTGCAGACGGTAGCTGCCACCCCTGATCAATACAGCTGACAAATCCAAATATAGCTGTTCACACTTAAAAGCAAGGGTTTAGGGATTTAACTACCCAGATATTCGGTAAAACAAAAAAACAACACAAAAAAACCTCTTATGGTAAATAAGAAACAGCACAGCATTGGGAAGAACCATCCAAGTGCCTCAGAATAACGTATCACTCGATACATACCAGGTGCATTGAACTTTCCTAATGTTGAGACAGGCAGTCCCTGCACAAGTATTGCTGCGTAGGTACGGGTGCTTCTAACCAACAGTCAAATGAGCAGCGTGAATAATAAGCAGAAGCTACTGGTGTGAAAACTACTCTCCCCATGCTTTGGGGGTTAAAATCTGAAAGGTGCATTACGAGGGTTGCAAAGACTCCACCTGTCACGGTCCTCCACAACACCATCCCTTCAAAGGCGCCAACAGCAAAGTTAAACTTGCTGGCGCTACCAACAGATTTTACACAAATCTCCACATGTCTGTGACCAACGCTGCAATCATTCCACGAAGAGAGCTTTACCTAGCTGCACCAAACACAACTCCTGAATCCTGTAAGAATTTAAGTATCACAGTTCTCTGTTTATAATGTAGTCAACACGCATTTGAATCAAATTTCCATTCTGAATTTTTAGAAGTCCCATAAAAAATGGCATCTGGCAGCCCGGCTGGTGTGCTCAGTGGTTGAACATTGATCTATGAACCAGGAGGTCAGGGTTCAAGTCCCCGTCAGGGCACATGCCCAGGTCTCGGGTTCGATCCCCAACAGGGGTGGGGCCGGGGGGGGGCGGGGCTAGCAGGAGGCAGCCGATCAATGATACTCTCTGATTATTGATGTTTCTATCTCTCTCGCCCTCTCCCTTCCTCTCTGAAATAAATGTTAAGAATATTTTTGAAACAGGCATCTGGCAAGCTAAAATCGAAACGTAAAGGACAACTCAGGAATGCCAGGCATTTCAATAGCTTATCCTCACTTCTCAGGTTTCCTTTAGTAAACATAAGGATGCAGAAAAACTGACCAAATTGCACATTTTTTGCATGGAGCAATCGTTTCTAAACTCTTTAAGTTGAGACTTAACTGCTTTGCAGTTAGGGAGCGCGATTGACAGAATTCTCTGCAGGTCAGGACTTTCTCTGGACCACCAGGGGTGGGAGACACCATGTGCGTGGCTAGAGGACGTCAAAGACACAGTGCCATGGATTAAAATAGATGGCTACTGGCTGCATATCGATTACGTGAAATGCCAGGAAAATAATCCAGCATCATCGTTGCCCTTCCCACAGCCTGAACCAAGGGACAAAAAAGTACACAACCACATTCTGAAAGGGTGAAAATGACGTGAGCACAGGGCCTTCAGATGAATCTTCTTTTTTGTTGTTGTTAATCCTTACCCGGGGATATTTTTTCCATTGATTTTGTTAGAGAGAGCGGAAGGGAGGGAGGGAGGCCCAAGGGTAGGTGGGGAGAGAGACACATGGATGTGAGAGAGACACATGGATTGGTTGCCACCCACAGGCACCCCGACCCAGGGCTGGGGATTGAACCTGCAACCCAGGTATGTGCCCTTGACCAGGAATTAAATCCTCGACCCTTCAGTGTGTGGGCAGACACTCTAACCACGGAGCCACACTGGCCAGGACCAGATGGGTCTTCTTACACCAGGACTAAAGCCACGTTTTCCTGTGGACACTGTCACCGCGTTTAGAAATGTCCAAAGGAACCAATGAAGGATACAAAAATGTAGTCGTCCATGTATCTCTTCTTCAGGTTCTCCACGATGGCGTTCTCTGTGATCTTGGAGAGAAGGACCATGTCGTCCACGCCGCTGTGCTTGACGTTGTGGCTCTGCCAGTGGTACCGGTAGGCCCCTTTGCTTCCCTGCTGGTGGAAAACACGCAATTATTAGGGTCGTTTATTTTCTCCTGGAGTTAAAAAAACAACTGCCACTCACTTCCCATATATAGTCCTCACATCAAATGCGGCAGAACACAGTGAACAAAGATTTTGCTATTGATCGACCTGGATTCAAGCTTCAGCTTCGCCACCGACAGACTAAGCGAAGTGGGGAGAAGTTACCTACGCTCACTGCACCACTTCTGCTTCTCTTTCCTCATTTGAAAAATGGGAGAAATGAGACCCACTGTATAGAACTGTTATAAGGATTAAATAAAATGACATACGTAAAGCGCCGAGCAGGGTCTATGCCAGGGGTGGGCAAACTTTTTGACTCGAGGGCCACAATGGGTTCTTAAACTGGACCGGAGGGCCGGAACAAAAGCATGGATGGAGTGTTTGTGTGAACTAATATAAATTCAAAGTAGATATCATTACATAAAAGGGTACGGTCTTTTTTTTTTTTTTTTAGTTTTATTCATTTCAAACGGGCCGGATCCAGCCTGCGGGCCGTAGTTTGCCCACGGCTGGTCTAGAGTATAGCACAATAAATGATCGACGGTCTCCCATAATTCCTTCAACCGCCTTATTTCATAATGTCTATCAATGAAAATGAGCAGTGAAACTTCCGAGACGTGTTCTGCAAATTCTATGACAGAACTCAGAAGTGGAAAGGATGTGTGCCACACACTGGCTAGGTCACATTATCCTCATTTCCCCCTGTAAGCTGACCACTGTCAATGGAACACTGGCCTTCTACATTCAAAACATAAGCTACGTTTTGATGACCGGTCACTGCTATACTAATGAGGAAAGGGACAGGAGCTGAAACACAGCCCAGAACATGCTATGGCAGAAGGACCTGATCTGGCCCCGTGGACTCCTTGGACAGAGAAAGCTGTGGCCCTTATCTGCTTATCGGAGTTACAACTCAACACCCAGAGTGGCTTCTGAACACCTGTGGCCGGCAGGGGTTCCTGCATATCGATTACGTGAAATGCCAGGAAAATAATCCAATTTTTTTTTTTTTAAATATATTTTTTATTGATTTTTTACAGAGAGGAAGGGAGAGAGATAGAGAGTTAGAAACATCGATGAGAGAGAAACATCGATCAGCTGCCTCCTGCACACCTCCCACTGGGGATGTGCCCGCAACCCAGGTACATGCCCTTGACCGGAATCGAACCTGGGACCTTTCAGTCTGCAGGCCGACGCTCTATCCACTGAGCCAAACCGATTTCGGCAACAGGGGTTCCTTTAACTTGGCATTTGTGCAGTAGAATCCCCCTCAGGTTCAGGCCCTGGGTGAGGGGGATGGGAGCACCGTGATGGCTGCACTTGGGGAGGTCACCATCCACTGAAGGGCACCTAGATATGGGTGGATATGTTCATGGGTCAGCAACTGTCAATCTGTAAACACAGGTAAAATGGGTGTTCCCACAGCGGGAGACTCCTTTGTCCTGGGAGAGGTGGAAATAACTTCTTGGAGAGGGAGCCATTTGATGTGGATCTAAAATACTTTTAATTTTCCAGCGGAATAGAGGAGGAAGGGTACACACGTATACACACACACACACACACACACACACACACACACACACACAACCTAATACATAAGAAATAATGGCAGGTAACACAAGACTGGAGATTGGAGAGTTCTCCCTTCCCTTTAAACCCTGCATGCATCCTGCTGGACAAGACTCAGGGCAAACTCAGCTCTTTCTCGGGAGTTCACTTTTGGGGGGAGTTTGGACAAAGGAGAGAAGGATTCTGAGTAAGGGTTTCTAGAAAGGCTGCCTGATCAGACGTCAAAAGGAGCAAGAGGAAAGGTAACAGGAGGCTCCTCGAGAGAAGGGTGGGGTAAGGAAGGAAACAAGACGGACGCCGTTCTACAATTCACGTTTAAAAACGACCGGTGTTCTCTTCAGGAGACATGGGCCCTTGGGTCAAAGCAAATTCTAAGAGGCTCCGGGGAAAGCCGTTTTAAAAACGCAGCCAGGGCCCTGGCTTGGGTTGCGAGCTGGGGCCCTGCCAGGCCTGCCACCCATGCTGCCGTGCACAGGGAAATGGTTTATATGATATATTTGGCTTTCTCAGAACCACAGGAGGCATCAGTTCTACAAAATTACCTCGACCTCACCGCTCCTCCTTCCTCTTGCGGCAAAGCAGCAGGAGAAAAAGTATGGCCACAGCATGACTCACCGGGCCTGTCGCATGTCCGCGGTGCCCTCCCACCGGATGAAGATTCCTGGTGACACCCCCTCCTGGGCTATTCTCTCTGGGCGCCCACAACAATTACCCTGCATGGAAAACTGAAGTTCCAGAGTAACCAACCAGAAGGTGTGCTTGTGTATTTGCTTTTAACCCCAATAAAATATTCACCTACTTCAAAGAGGCAAAAGATGTTCTTTCCCCTTTGGATAATGTAAGTACAGTTGATCGAAACAGAAGAGCTATTTATAAGCTGTTACTCAACTGCGAGAATGTGAATGATGTTTACAACCTTGACCCCTTCCCTTCCTCACACTCCTGATGGGTGGGAGGGGGCAGAACTGGCTGCCCTGCGTGTGGGGGAGGAAGGGTGGTGACAGGGACCTCCCATGGGGCGAGGAGGGTCACCTTCCTCAGGTGGCAAAGGCCGGGTTAGCAGGCTGTCACCTCAGCAAGTGCAGCTTCCTGCTGTGCTGTGGGCTGCGACTCCTTTTAGTTTTGGCCACTTTTTAAATGAGGGACTGGGCAGGTGTTGCACTTCCCAGCAGTCCCGGCTGAGCAAGGCGTCGCCAGAGGGGAGCTGGCGTGCCAGCTGAGCAATGACCAGGAAAGTAACAAATCATGAAAAGTATGATGACGCCGATGAAAAGTTATTCCCCCGCCCCCAATGATTACAAATGACAAGGGAGATATTTCCCATTAGATCAGTGGTTCTCAACCTTCCTAATGCCGCAACCCTTTAATACAGTTCCTCATGTTGTGGTGACCCCCAACCATAAAATTATTTTCGTTGCTACTTCATAACTGTAATTTTGCTACTGTTATGAATCGTAATGTAAATATCTGACATGCAGGATGTATTTTCATTGCTACAAATTGAACATAATTAAAGCATAGTGATTAATCACAAAAACAACATGTAATTATATGTTTTCCGATGGTCTTAGGCGACCCCTGTGAAAGGGTCGTTCGACCCCCAAAGGGGTCGCGACCCACAGGTTGAGAACCGCTGCATTAGATGAAGCTTGAGTGCAGACCCTCTCGGGTCCCCATGTAATGACTAGGATTCCGTTTGTTAAAAAGCAATGGGCTCACACACAAGTTCTAGAAACCGGGGCGCGCCCACATCCACACAAGGGCCTGGCTTGTTCCTCCCGTCTAGGGGGTGGCACCGAGACAGGCGTCCCACACGCGGGGGAGGAGCCCGGCTCAGGATTCGCTGCTCCCTGCTGTGTGCTGACCAGGGTGGGGACGGGGCAGAGCAAAGGTGAGTCCGCACAGAGGCCAGGACTGTTCCCTCCTGAAAGCCGACCTTCACTGCAGCGCCTCTCAGGGTCTCAGCGAGCACTTTCCCTCCCAGGCTCACCCAGGAGGAGGAGGAGAGCAGGCCCTGGGTAACCACAGCCTTCACAGCCCAGGAAGGGAGGCTGTGTAAACACAGCAGGCCCAGTGCTGGGCAGGGCCTGGGACGGTGGTCACACATCTGACACTTTTGAGGGGGAGCAGACTGCAACGTATTTTCAGACAGCGGCGTGGAAATAGGCACCGAAACCTTAATCCCACAGACAGATATGCATACAGTTAACTAACTACCAATGAGATTCACACCCTCTTTGCTCCAGCGTTTGCATTTTTAGGAATTTACCTCCAGATACATCAAGATCTATGGACGAGGCT